TGTCGCGGAGGCCGGACTAATTCGGGGTGTTTCCGTAAAAGTGCATCTTTTAAAGATACAAGGAAGAAACAGTCTGCATGCAGATACGCTAAATCTGTACACACACATACACACGCACACGCACACACACACACACACACACACGCACACACACACACACACGCACACACACACACACGCACACATACACACACACGCGCGAAGGGTGTGCACGCTAAACTCAAGAAGACACAAGTCCTGGGAAAAGACTATCCATCTCTATCTTTTTTTTCCACCCCACCAGGACATCACACAAGCGACAAACACTCGATAACACAAAGTGCCACCATGTGGCTGAGGATCACCCGTGGAGAGGTCCCAGAAACCGCATTTGGCCATTAAACCATATTTATGACCGGGCTATATTGCGGCCCCTGACAAGAGCCAGAGTAGGGCTTCAAATATCGAAAAATTGCAACCCGCAAGGGGATGACTAGACTAAGAAAAAATACTCAAGTCCATAAATGGACGAACAACCACAGCCCGAGTGAGTTCACAGCCGGTGAACGATACGAAGAAGAGGAGACTTAGTTTCACACATGGTGCTCTGCCTATGACAGAAAGAGTTAACATGGCAAAGTTACACAAAAGTAAATGATAAACGGTGATTTAAAGTGTTAGCATAGGATCAAAGAAATATTACAACTACTAGGACTGAAGAACACATTACGGCCAGAAATCAAGTTCAGACAATGCATGTACTTCACCCGTGCGGCATTCTGATGTGAGTTATGGATCATTACGAAATCGCACTGAACTTTGATTCAGCAGCTTTAGCTGCGTGTTTTGTTCGAAACGTATGTGTGTTACCTTTGCTTTGGAGTAAACAAGGCAAGCCAATTGAGTGATCATGCCGTAATGGGCAGTTAATGTGCTGTGTAATACTGCCACGGCTTGCCCACTGCGAGGAAAAACATAATAAACCCACTGCCCTCTGACTCAGGAGGGAATCACAGTGGCGCAGAGGCTAGACGCTCGCAGCTGATCCAAAGGTTGTGGGTTCGCCCCCTGGCAAAGCTGGACGTTTTTTCTTCTTCAAAAGTGACCTCGACTTCCAGGTCGACCCAGCCTTGAGTGGGTACCGGGTGCAGTCCCGGAAAGTAAAGGCGGCCGGCGTGTTGCCGACCATAACGCCCATCTTATGTCGATTGGTCTATACAAATATAGGCGTGGAAAAGGGGCCTTTACTTGCCTTACTCGAACTCGGAATCTGAGGGCATCTGCCTGAGAGGCAAAGAATAAACAGTCTACATAAAAATATCCCAGATCTGCAAAACGATGTGCACGCACATCCAAAGTTCTAGAATAAGACTAAAGTGCAGAAGTGGATGAACATTTAGAACTTCCCGCACGAGTTGACAGTTTGCCATTTGTTTTGTATTAATCATGTTTGTGTGCTCTGGCTTCTCGCCGGCGACTATCCCCATTTAAACATCCTGGCCCCTGGGTTAACTTAGTTGAAAAGCACTGGCGTGGAGAGACTCAATCTACAATAAACAGATGGACACTGAGCCATTGAATATGGCATAATAACCAAATTTTAACCAATAAATCTATATAATTTTTCGCAAGAAACATAGTAACAACTTCAACCAAAAGTTCCTTTGTCGAAACGGATAGCCCGGGAGCTGCAGGCAACTGTAGACAAACTGACTGGTCTGCAGAAATGGGTGCTGTCTTCAACACAGAAAAGGCAGCTGTTTTGTGGTGCTCTCTGGACAATAGAATTGCAAGAGCTAATGTTTTAAGCCTCACAATTAATAACAGTAATATCAAAAGAGAAAGCAAACTGATGTACCTGGGTATCACTTTCGATAGAAGCCTATCCTTGTGGGATCATGTGGAGGCAGATTCAGACTCAAGTGGGGTTCTAATCGCTTTAGCTGGTGCTGAAAAATCAGAAGTTCAACAAATGATCTATGACAATTGTCACCCTTGTGATATGATTATCTATACAGATGGCTCTGTGTGTTTAGAGGCAGACGAAGTGCATGGGGGTTCACAGCAAAAGCAAATGGACGTCGCTTAGTGCAACAAAGCCTTGCATACGATATCATAACATCTAGTTTGAGAATGGAGGTAAAGGCAGTCACTGCTGCCTTTTGCTGGCTTGAGAACCAGCTGTACACACATGTCGTGATTGTGGGTGACTCGCAGAGCACGTTGAGAAATGTGGAGACAGGCATGTTCCGTGTAGAGTGGCAAGCATCAGTTCAGAGGTCCTGGGTAGTCAGCGTCACTTAGACATTTCTCCAGAAAATGCCGATGTGTTGGGAAATGAGCAGGCAGATTGACTGGTCGGCTCTGCACTACTTCGTGGTGCAGTGGTGTATGAAAACTAGATATTGTGAGGGTTTTTTGGAGCTAGTGAACAGTGCGGAGGCACACATATATCGTTATGGTCTGATATAGCAAACGCTCAACATTCAGGGGAGGGCGAGACGGATTTACAATCAGACAGGTACTGGTTCCATCGGAACTCAAACGCTTCGCTTGTTGTAGAAGATAGGGACGTAGCGCAACATCAGATCAGAGAGAGTCCCCCGTGTGGTCCCCATGGTGGGGAAAACAAGAATAGACCCACTGCCTCCCCAAAAGCATGTCGTAAGAGTCGACTAATTGGGGAGCTTCCTTTGAAGTCGGAGTGCATCTGCCGGAGAGGCAAGGAACCAACAGTCTGTATTCAAGAGAATGAAATCTGTAAAACTGATGCACACGCAACACTCAGGTTCTGGAGCAGGACTGCAGTTCAGTAGTGGACGAGCAACCAGAACTTTCCGCCAGATTGTACAGCTGGTGGACGCGAAGAAGAAGAAGAGATCAGAGAGAGACACAACCAAATGAAATCAACCAAGTAGACATTACGTTTCAAAACCTGCCTAATCCATCCATACCTTTCCCTGCAGATCCTCCTGGCTGGTGGCGGGAAAGGCAGATCCTCCTCTACCTGCTCGCCTCCATCTTCATCCTGACAGTCCATTCACAGGCGAGCACTTGCTGAAACAGACGGTCAGTTTTGAGAAAGTGAAACTGACCAACAACATGCTGGACAAGAACGGACACGTAAGATCTGTTGTTAACCTTTCTTCCTTCAACTCTTTGGCGGCCGGGGTAGCATAGTATCCCGACTTTAGCCTGCCAGTTGTAAGGTCTTAATTTCCGGATCTAGGGGAATTTCTTAGAATTGATCTTAGCGTTCAGGCTGACCCAGTCAAATCTTGGCACTAGAAAATATCGATGTAAGGACAGCCAGGTTGATTTATTTTATATCAGACGTCGATATTTACAGGTGTTTCCGGTTATGAAGGCGTCATCATATTATAATGCCTGTGATTTATATAGACTACATCATATGAGAATGTCTGTGATTTATATAGACTACATCATATGAGAATGTCTGTGATTTATATAGACTACATCATATGAGAATGTCTGTGATTTATATAGACTACATCATATGAGAATGTCTGTGATTTATATAGACTACATCATATGAGAATGTCTGTGATTTATATAGACTACATCATATGACAATGTCTGTGATTTATATAGACTACATCATTTGACAATGTGATTTATATAGACTACATCATATCAGAATGTCTGTGATTTATATAGACTTCATCAAATGAGAATGTCTGTGATTTATATAGACTTCATCAAATGAGAATGTCTGTGATTTATATAGACTACATCATATGAGAATGTCTGTGATTTATATAGACTACATCTTATGACAATGTGATTTATATAGACTACATCATATGACAATGTCTGTGATTTATATAGACTACATCATATGAGAATGTCTGTGATTTATATAGACTACATCATATGAGAATATCTGTGATTTATATAGACTACATCATATGAGAATGTGATTTATATAGACTACATCATATGAGAATATCTGTGATTTATATAGACTACATCATATGACAATGTCTGTGATTTATATAGACTTCATCAAATGAGAATGTCTGTGATTCATATAGGTTTCATCCAAAGAAAATATCTATGATTTATGTAGACTTCGTCATATGAGAATGTATGTGATTTTTATAGACTTCATCATATGACAATGTCTGTGGATGTGTTTAGACTTAATCAAGTCATCATATAAGAATGTCTATGATTTATGTAGACTTCATCATAGAAGAATCTATGTGATTTATTGGGGACTTTATCAAATGAAAATACATGTGATTTATATAGACGTGGAGATTTGTCTATAAATAATATGGGTCTAGCACCATATGCCTATTCGTAACTGGTGTGAAAAACTATTAGTTTGATCTAATAATAATAATAATAATAACTTATATTTAAGTCCATATCTTTTCGGGTCCAATCGGTTCCCGTGATGTGTTTTTATCTCTCCGCTTTAAATCTAAACCATCAATTAAAAGTGTAACACTTAGGTTTAGATTCAAGTCTAACATACAACAGAATTATGACTTTTGCTGCAACATCTCTACTGTAAGATACTAATTACATCATCCTGTTTATTTCTTTCTGAGACCAAATTTAATTTGGTTTTACCCGAGAAGTTGTTTCAGAAAGTGTTGAATATTTGATTGTGAAGGAGTTAAATCAATAAGTAGGGGAAGATTAAGAAGGTAGAGTGAGGAAGAGAAGGATAAGGACGAGAAGAAGAAACACCTTACTTTTAATCATTTGTTTTCTTGCTCTTCGAGTTTTGCCTCATGTATTTGCTGTGTGTGATCCTAATGATAAATTGACTCATTGCTTGAGACGTGCCTGTTTATTTTGATCTCGTTGCTAGACTGCCATTCGTTCTAGGCGGTCTGACCATCTGTACCTGTTTTATGCTCTTGTATTTGACATACGTTATTGTCTGTTTATATCAGTACTGTTTATTGAATCATTAATTATCATTAGAAAGTGATGCCCGACAAGGCTCTTGGGCAATTTGACTAATCAAACGAGTTTAACGTTGATCTAAATACGGTAGATCAAACAGAAAATAGATTTTAAAAAAAAAAAAAAAAAAAAAAAAAAAAAAAACATTATATCATCATCATACTCTACTGTGTCTGGATTACTAGTTACTTTGTAACAGCCAGAAGATTCAATATAACCTTACGGTTGAACAGGGTTCCATGGATTTCTACACAGCAAGTTCTTCTCTGAATGGTGACACTTTGTGTCACCAGGTGGTAATCGCCGAGAGTGCGATCGAGGTTGGGCTCAATTTCACTCGAAAGGGGGAGGGGGGATTTTGTGAAGCTAGAAAAATGTTAACCCGTTCTGTCCTAGACTGTCGTTACCACAACCCCTAGAAAAATGTTAACCCGTTCTGTCCCAGACTGTCGTTACCACAACCCCTAGAAAAATGTTAACCCGTTCTGTCCCAGACTGTCGTTACCACAACCCCTAGAAAAATGTTAACCCGTTCTGCCCTAGACTGTCGTTACCACAACCCCTAGGAAAATATTACCCGTTCTGTCCCAGACTGTCGTTACCACAACCCCTAAAAAAAAATGTTAACCCGTTCTGTCCCAGACTGTCGTTACCACAACTCCCGCTTTCTTTAGGCGTGTGTGTGTGGGGAGGCGGGTGGGGGGGGTGTCGAGAAAGAAACTAAGAGAGAGAGAGAGAGAGAGAGAGAGAGAGAGAGAGAGAGAGAGAGAGAGAGAGAGAGAGAGAGTTGGACATACATTACAGCCAATCTTCGTTGCGGAGATAAGGCTTGATTCATTGTTAAAAACAGCAAAGGAATGTCTGCCAAGCATATGTATCAGTAATATAAAAAGTCTAACTGGGCTCATGCACTGTGAGAAAATGGAACCATCCAATTCATGAAACAAATATTTTTCTGTTTAACCCAGTCCTCACCATTGATGTATACTTCCTTTGTGGAGCTACCTATTGTTTTCAATTAAACCAGTTAGAAGATTGTTCTCAGCCATGGCAATAATTAAGGAATCTGCAATTTCTGCTTCAGAAAGCAGATTGCCTGTTTGCGTTTCTGATGTTGATAGTTACGTTTAAACACGTATAGTCTATTCAAGAGCTTGGACTGATCTTCTACCTGAACTAACAATAGTAGACAGACACTTTTCGTACAGGCCTCAAGCATACAAGTTTATAACACATATTTGGAGAAAAAACTTTTTTGGGGGATAAAATAAGTTAGTTAATTGCGTATCCTATACGCAGAAGAAAGAATTATTTGACTACTGTGGTTTTCCTAGGCAATGTTCAGTAGTTGGCCATGCTAACTGAACGGGCAGATCTTGGTACCATTGTCGACACTAACGCAAGACAAACCCTCCACAGCTGGGATTGAACCCTGCACCCCCTTATTACGAAGCGCGTTCGCAACGCCTAAACCACAGACGCCGATAAATAATAAACTGTTTTTTAAACATGCAAACCATTTGCAAACCATTTGAACATGAAAACCTTTTAAACATGCAAACCATTTTAACATGCAAACATTTAAACATACAAACAATTTAAACTTACAAACAATTTAAACAGACAAATAATTTAAAAAAAAATGTAAAAAAAATTTAAACATACATACTAGAAAGATTTAAAACAATAATGTATCAAATATTTTAATGGAAACCAGATTTAATTATTCATTTTACAATTTTATCGTCTTTATAAACCACTTCGACCTTTAAGCGTCAGTGGAAAGAACAATTTGCGACCCTGTGCTCGCTTGTTGGATTTGGCTATTATCATGCTGTGAAGGTGTGAAGTGTCCTTAATGTTGTCGATCGATGTTTCGTGGCCGTCCTCTTGGGCGTGGGACATTTTATGCTACGAGTAATGAAGGCACGGGGCGCCCTTGAAAGTAATATACAAATAATTACATTGCAGATTTATATTTCACTAGTGAACTATTCTACAAGTTCTGGACTTTAGGTTTCCTCCAAAACTTGTTGCTGATGTTGCTCAAGTTTTGTCACACAACTGTGGGGTTAACTTGGTTAGGTTTAGGTTTAAACAACGGATCATCATCATGGCACAAGGGTAGTATGGTAACCCATAAGTGCTTCGTTCTACTTTTTACTCAAACCTGAGTACGAAGAGTCTCAGACCCGTGCACGAAATCCGTAGTACCGACGGGGATCCTAAAATACTTGGGGTAGATTTTAAACTCTAAATTTTGTCCGGGCAGCGCCCTTAGGCTACTCTTTTCGGTTTCAAACTGCCAGGAGATTTTTTGTGTGTGCGAGGAAATACACACAGGCGTCCGATCTCACTACCCAGAGACCAGAGGAAATCACTAGAAGTCACGGGAAAAAATCCTAGCCTTCACCGGGGCCTGAACCCGGAACCTCCAGCACCTAAGGCTGACGCCATGCCCCCCAAGACCACGTGTGGAAGTTGTCTTCTTGAAACGTTTAATTACGTGAAGAATGTCTAAGTACAGAAATTCGGGCGTTGGAGGCGGGGGGTTTCACACACGCACATACTCACACGCGCACGTTCACACACGTTCACACACGCACAGAACTTCACCAAGAAGGAACTTAGAGGTGGGGAAAAAAAGGGACCGGGGCGAGGTGGTGGGTCACCGGGTGAACTAAAGGTGATTGCAAAAAAATAGGACGACTTTGTGTAAAATTGTGAAACTGGGTTCACAACCACTTAGTCACAAGCATTATGTCACCATGTGATATTCCGAAGGACAGGAGTGGGGCGCACTGGGACCAACCTGCATTGTGTAGACGACAAAGATTTTGTGTGTGTTTTGTTTGTAAATGTTAAATCATTGATATCAGTGTACTCGTTTTACAACTTCCAAGGCTTGGAATAAAACAGGAACTGGGAGTCTCTGTAGCGAAGTGGTCTAGCCGTTTGCTTCGCGCTTTGAAGGCCGCAGGTTCAGTTCACGAGTACAAATTTACAGAGATTACTTGGGGATCGTCACCGGAGCTACGGAGGTCGTTCTCTGTGCGACACTGTCTACATGCAGTTAGCTGTTCTACGGAGAGAGACTGAGCCATATGGGATACAACCCGGTGCAATGAAGTCGACCCTCGCACCCTCACCTTTATAAAACACGAACTCCGTACCTTCAGCCACGACTTCTAGGATCTCCAAAACTCTTGTTCTCTCTAGCTGAACAATGACGTCCAAATACAAATCCTTACATTTCAGAACGCACAGCAAACGTTCTACCCACTTCGTCACAAACACCCCACACACAAAAATTGTCCCTACCAAAATGTCAGGCTTTGTTGATCTTCTCTCCTACAGATTATCCTGAACTCCATGCACAAGTACCAGCCCCGAGTCCATCTGATCAAGAAACAGGATAATCTCAAACTGCCCATCTCATCTCTGGAGGGCCATGACGCCAAAACGTTCGTGTTTCCGGAGACGGTGTTCATAGCTGTCACAGCTTACCAGAACCAGCTGGTGAGTTCTTTGTTGGATTGTACAGATAGATTGTATAGTTGGATTGTACAGATAGATTGTATAGTTGGATTGTACATTAAATTATAAAGGTGGATTGTACAGTTCTTCTTCTTGTTCGCGTTCACCAGCTATAAACTGGCGGAAAGTTCTGGTTGTTCATCCACTTTTCCTGTTCCAGAACCTCAGTGTTGCGTGTGTATCTCTTTTACAGATTTGACTCATTTGCATGCAGACTGCTGGTTCCTTGCCTCTCATGCATATGCACTCCGACTTCGATAAAAGCTCCCGATCAGTCGACTCTCACGACATGCTTTAGGGTAGGCAGTGGGTCTATTCTTGTTCTACCTATAATACGGCCCCGAAAAGCACATGGGCAGATTGTACAGAATATTGAACAGTTGGATTATAAAGTGTTGAAAACGTTAGTTGCGTATCCTTTACAGGACGTTGCAGAACCAACCTCAGCATTTTTAGCGTGGTTTTTCTAGTCACATTTGCGTCCAGTAGTTTGCCATTGCTGACTCGACGGTCGGCTTCTAGATACCACTGTCGAAACTAACGCAAGGCGCAAGGCCCACAGTTGGGATCGAACCCGGCATCCATGCATTACAAGGCACGTTCGCAACGCCTAAGCCACAGACGCCCACTAAAAAAGTTAATATGTACAGTGCGTGTTTAACACACATCGTTTTTTTTTTTTTTTTTTTTTTTTGCTTATCACATCGGGCATATCCATAGATGCTCCGTCTCCCTCAGCAAATGTCTTAAGGTGTACATCGGACCATTCAACTAAGCCAAAATGTTGAAAATAGAGTGGCCTGAGCTTCAGCATAGAAAGATCACTAATACAATACAGTGGGCAATGATCAGAGCGGCACTTGCTAGGCTCTGTGGGCCAGATTAAAATCGCGGTCAGCAAGTTAAATAGCCCTGGTGTAGATGCTAACTGTTCCCACAGTACCAAACTGCTAATTGCTGACTTTATTATACCACTTTTGCAGGTGTAAGCAGGTTGGGGGAGGGGGGGGGGAGGGAGTCTCTGAGCCTCAGGATTTACGGCAGCATGGATAGTACTGTGTAGGAAAGGATTTTGTTGTTGTTGCTCTACCAAGGATTCAATCCCGGGTCTCTCGCGTGAGAGCCAAGCGTTCTACCCTTCGGCCAGCCGTTCCTCTCCCGCAGCACACTGATTGTGAACACATCGGTCTCTTCCTCTCATAAGCCCATTCTTGCAGTTTCACACAGAATTCTTCGTTCACACATTCTTACATATTTCGTCTATCTTCTTCTATCAACATTCGTTCACATACGATTTTCATTGCGTCTTCCTTGTCCAGTAATACGTTTAATGCGAGGCAGGTCTGAGTGTTTGTGTATGTTTGTGTGCGAGGCGTGCGTGGGTATTATATGAGTTGCTATGTGAAGTTTGAAGTTTGAACAATGTATCAACATCATGACACACGGGTAGTAACCAATAAGTGCTCCGTTCTTCTCCTTACTCAAGTCTGGAGCACCGGCGAGGATCCTGAAATACTTTGGGTAGAGTTTTAACTCAAAAAGTTTGTACGGGCAGCGCCATTAGGCTACTGTTTTCAATTTCCAACCATCGAGGTATTTGTTACGGGCGCAACAGTGCACACGGGCGTCTGATCTGACTACCCAGAGACCAGGTAAATTACTAGACCAGGGTAAATTACCAAGTCCAAGTCCATGTGAAAAAATCCCAGCCCTTACCGGGGATTGAACCCTGAACCTCTAGCACTCGAGGCGGACATTATGCCACGAGACCACGCAGCCTTAGTTCCTATGTAAAGTGAAAGTTAAAAGACACTTTTTACGTCAGTGGCGCATTGAGCATATGAAGCCAGACAAAATAGAAGGAGTCTTTTCCGTAGCCAATTCTCCAGCCCTATGTGCTTTTATAGCCAATTTTGCGAAAACTAGCCTCTCACAAAGCTCTTCAGGCGATCACGATGTTTATCGTGGCCAAAATACTTCAGCTTTCGGGAATGGATACTTCTTCTTCTTCTTCACGTTCACCAGCTGTAAACTCTGGCGGAAGGTTCTGGTTGCTCGTCCACTACTGAACTGCAGTCCTGCTCCAGAACCTGAGTGTTTGTTGTGATTATCAGTTTTACAGATCTCATTCTCTTGAATACAGACTGTCGGTGTTCTTGCCTCTCCGGCAGATGCACTCCGACTTCAAAGGAAGCTTCCCAATTAGTCGACTCTTACGACATGCTTTTGGGGAGGCAGTGGGTCTATTCTTGTTTTCCCCACAATGGGGCCCCGGAACCCACACGGGGGGGGGGGGGGAATGGATACTGATTATGGGCCAACTATCATCCATGCTCAAATCATGTAGATTGTCGGTGTTCTTCTTGGTCAGGGTATTCTAAGAAGATTTATGTAGCATTTCAGTTCAAAGACTGAGTTTTTCTTTTAATGACTAACACTAAAGGTTCTCCATGCTGTACAGTCTCTGAATTGCTAAAGCGATTCTTTCTCTTTTTAATTGTGTGTGTGTGTGTGTGCGCGCGTGTGTGTGTGTGTTCGTGTGTGTGTGTGCTGTCGTAATACTGAGCGTAAATATTCTAAATCTGTGATTTATTTTTTGAAATCTTTGTTAGTGATTTTAAAACAGGGGTTGAGTGTAGTATTCATTGTGAAATTTTTTTTAAATTTTATTAAATAATTAAAATTATTTTGTCTTTGTCGTTCTTTTTTGGCTGTCAGATTTACTCTTCTTCTCCTTCGGGTTCACCGGCTGTAAGCTCCGGCGGGAAGTTCTGGTTGTTCTTCCACCTCTGGACTTTATACTTGTTATATAAACTGCGTGTTGCGTGCACAGCCGTTTGATAGATCTGACCTATTTGTATGCAGACTATTGGTTCCCTGCCTCTCAGGCAGATGCACTCTGACTTTGGAGCAAAACCGAAATTAATCGACTCTTACGACATGCTTGTTGGGGAAGCAGTGGGTCTATTCTTCTTTTTCCCACAATGGGGCCCCAGAGCCCTCACGGGGAGAATGCTTCTAACCCCTGTATGCTGTTGGGCAACTTCTTCCTATTTGTAATTCACTAGTCGCCTCTTTCTAACCTAGGTATCTTATACCACAAGGCTAAAGAACACTTTGCTTTTGTCTTCAACTCTCAACTTCAACCTTTTCCTTCTCGTCTGCGTCTCCGTTTCCTCTTTGATATGTTCCTTCTTATCTCGCTAACAAGTCCTCGCGTTGGCAGAGCCATTGGAAATTCCGCACCTGACATTTTCTACAGATTCTTAGTTATCAGTGGGTGTCGGTTTTGACAAAGCCAAGATATCAGCTTGGGCGTCTCACAAATGTTAGTGACTCTAAGATACAGAGTAGAAAGGACAGCACAACCCTCGTGTATGCACTTATTTACTTCCAAATGGGGCTGTTTCTGAGCACTATTGGGGGAGGGGGGCGGAAAAGGGAGGCGGACAAATTAGAGCTTGCTAAAGTCAGGTGTGGTGGCCGCTAAAACAGATATCGCATCCTAGTTGTATAGCACAAATTGCAACCGCTTTTTGAAGTGCGGGCGCAAAACAAAAAGAAGAAAAGACGATGATAATGATGATGAAAAGCGCAGAAGGAGAAGAACAAGAAGAAGAAGAAAAAGAAGAAGAAGAAAAAGAAGAAGAAGCAGGAGGATGAGGGGAAAAAACGATGAAAAAAATATAAACAATTATGAAAATGCTTTAGAAGCAGACGCTGCTACCACTATACTATTACTGCTGTTGGTGCAGCTACTACTGCTGCTGCTACTGCCGCTTTCGTCACTACTACTACTGCCGCTTTCGTCACTACTAGTACTGCCGCTTTCGTCACTACTACTGCTGCCCGTTTTCTTTTTTTTTTACAAAAAGGTTTGGGCTCTTACCACAAAGTGTCTAACAAAGGTGCCGGTTGTCCTCACAAAGTGTCTATTATTAGCACTAAAAACATTGATGCCTGATAATAATAATACTCCCTGCTACTACCACCTCTAACACCCCCCCCCCCCCCAACAACCATTAATAATATTACTAATTCCTGTCTTGTTATTGCTCACCTCTCTAGTCATGATCATTGTCTGCATTAAAAAACAAAGCAGCCCACACACGAAAACTCTTTGTCTCGATTTCCCAACAAATATAACAAAAAAAAAAAAAAAACTCGTTGTCTGTCTCCCACAGATAACAAAACTCATTGTCTGTCTCCCACTGGTAACAAAACTCATTGTCTCCCACAGATAACAAAACTCCTTGTCTGTCTCACACAAATAACAAAACTCATTGTCTGTCTCACACAGATAACAAAACTCATTGTCTGTCTCACACGGATAACAAAACTCTTTGTCTGTCTCCCACTGGTAACAAAACTCATTGTCTCCCTCCGATAACAAAACTCATTGTCTGTCTCACACAGATAACAAAACTCATTGTCTGTCTCACACATAACAAAACTCATTGTCTGTCTCACACAGATAACAACACTCATTGTCTGTCTCACACAGTTAACAACACTCATTGTCTGTCTCACAAAGATAACAAAACTCATTGTCTCCCACAGATAACAAAACTCAAAATAGACAGTAACCCTTTTGCCAAGGGCTTCCGGGACTCGAGTCGCCTCACGGAATTTGACAGGTAAGGGCGCCTGGTTTATTTGTTTGTGAGGACGGTGGTTGATGTTGTTGTTGTTGCTGCTGCTGTTGTTGTTGTAACTATTGTCATGTCTCGTTTATGTGATGTGTTTAATGTGCTTTGTCACTAATGTCAGTTGCCTTGTTTGCACTCACGTCATTAGCCGGGTGTTGGGTCTAAAGGTAGAATCGGACCCATCATCGTCATAAACAGCATAATCAGCAGCATCGTGACCAACGGAAAGGTGGTTTTACTAGGCGGACATTTGTGCAGATTATGTAGTAGTAGTAGTAGTTGTGTCGGCTCTGTGGCTAAATCGATGCCAACGCTTCGTAATGCCGAGATGCCGGGCTCGATCCCAGCTGCGGGCCTTGCGTTGGTTTCGACAGTGGTATCAAGAAAGCCGACCGTCCAGTGGGCATGGGCAAACTACTGGACGTAAATTTGTCTAGAAAAACCACACAACAGCAGGGGTTGGTTCTGCAACCTCCTGTAAAGTAGTAGTAGTAGTAGTAGTAGTAGTAGTAGTAGTAGTAGTAGTAGTAGTAGTAGTGGTAGTAGTAGTAGTAATAATAATTGTTGTAATGGTATTAGGGAAAGAAATATTTTTTTTTTTTTTTAGCAATAGTTTTTTTGGGGGGTTCTTTATCTCTCTCTCTCTCTCTCTCTCTATATATATATATATCCTCTATATATCTATATATATATATATATATATATATATATATATATATATATATATACGTACGCGCGTGTGTATAGATAGAGAGAGATGTGAATACAACGACAGAAACACTGCAAGTACTATACCATGATACTACTATTACTACTACAGCTAGATAAATAGGTGCTTTGCTGCGAGGGGTGGTGGATCGTCACATTCAACCAGCACCCCCAAAGGGTGGGGGGGGGGAGCTTTAGGTTGTAATTGTGACTAGGGTATGTGCGCCATATAAAATGGCTTAGCATTACACGCCACCATGCACTCTGAAAATAAACTCTCGAAGTGTTAAGGCGATTAAAAGAGAGAGACCCAAATACTGTTCCGACCGACAACGAAGTCGTCTACTGGCCAGTCAGTGGGTGACCTGGTCGCTGACTACAGCAACTACGCAGTTGTACAAAATATGGCTGTAAAGATCGCTGTCTCCACACACACACACACACACACACACACACACACACACACACACATACATACATACACATGCAACACACTCACAAAAGCTATAACCCAAATAATTGTGCGAGCTGTTGGTTCCTGTTTTATAGAGTCTAGAAAACCAAACACAACATAGGCAAGGGTGTGGAGAAGGTAATAAAGTGTTTAACTAACGTACGAAGTTTCACGAGTAAAGCAAAGGAGCGCATCTATCATTCAAATGTGTGGCAATAAAACATAAGCGACTGCCGGCACACGAGCATCCCGCCGAGTGTCAAAACTTCATCCCGAGTGCAGACTGAGGCTATCATGTTAGCATTGTCACAGACACGCTATCTTTATCGCTGCATTAAGTCTTTCAGTCCCACACAGTGGTGACCTCAACACTTCCTATCCAAAAGTTTGTTCACCGAGGAGCAGTGGCGGTTGATAGAAGCACCACTTATTTTTACTTCATAATATCCATAACATTCAATCTAATGAGTTTTATTCTTTCTCTTCCCTTCTTTCTTTATTCTTGTACATTATACAGACGCCTGGCTCGCTAGCTCAACTGGTTAAACCTGACTGCAAGGTGACCGGGTTCACGCTCGGGGGTAGGCATAAAAAGCCATATTTCTCCCAGATTTACGGTATCTACCATAAAATCAATGTGGAATTGTTGCGGTATCCATAGTACCGAGCCAAAGGGTTAACAACTCATGGTTTCTGGATATTTAATTTAAAAAAAATACAGGGTGGTTGTAAAGTCTCACTATGCTTTGTATGCAGAACTAATGGGGAAAAAAAAAACAAAGTACATAACGTCTTCAAAAATGTACTCCACAACGAAGCAATATGCATTGCATGGTTGTTCAATTCTGGATTAATTGTTTGTCTTAAAAATACAATGGAATTCTCAGCGGAAGCAAATAGAATTACCATTTAATAAATAATATCAGACACGTTGCAGAAAGTATCTGACAATATGAAGCGACCTCTACAGTCATGACTTTAAACCCGTGGTGGACATTTCTAACAGCTGTTATAAATAATATTTCACTGATACTTTCCAGCTTCCCCAAAATAATGTTAAACCATAGCAGTGACTTTTGTAACTAACTTAATGCTTTAGTGATGAATTCAACCATGACTATGCTAAAAGTTATGTACCTAGATCAACAATATCTTAGTTTCACAGATCTGAAAATCCAGCATTGGGACATAGGGTGTTATAGTAACAACTGGAAAAAAAGGGGTTAACATCAAAGAAGAATGGGGCAGGAAAAGTAAAGAAATGTGTGCCATATATAGCGTAACCAACGAACGCATGCCGAGTTCATTGGTACCGAAAGAGTTAATGACTTTTGAAGCACATTTTGTATATGACGTCACGTACTTTAATATTTCATATTTGTTTCTGCATGCCAAGTGTAGTTATACCTTACGAACGCCCCGTCGGACCCTTATGTTTAGAGTCAGTAATTTACCCTTGTTTACGAAGGAGTACAAAACTCTTGTAATGAACAGTACTTTTCAGAGTTCCAGAGGTAAGGTGTTTGGCGTTGTCACAGACACGCTTTCTTTGTCGGCTCATCACTTCTTGTCCAAAAGTGTGTGCGCTGTCGAGCATTGGCGGCTGGTGCATAGACACTGTGCAACTCCAGCACCACATATGGTCAATAGATACTGAGGACTAATACCCAACCCGCCCCCCACCCTCCGGGGTGGCCTCGAGGCATGGCGTCCTCTGTGGATTATGGTTAAATAGCCTGTGCCCCTCAGAGGAAGGGTGGGGGAGGGGGTGGTTGAAGGGCCTGTCCCCCCTGGGGGTGGTAGCTGATGGGATTGTACCCCTGGGGTTGTGGTTAAAAAGGGCCTGTACCCCTGGGGTGGTGGTTAAAGGGTCTGTAACCCTGGGGTGGTGGCTGAAGCGCCAGTCCACCTGGGGGTGGTGGATGAAGGGACTGAACACCAGGTTCCGACGCCTCTAACTTACCATCTCCCCTTGAGGGATATTATATGACACAAACATCCCACATCAAGTGATACATAACACATAATAATGATATACTCTGGCAGGCGGCGTCAGACGATGGTTCCGTCCGCAGGCAGACGACATGTGGGCAAGGTCTGAGAACTCTGTCTTTCCGCCGGGCCCTAAATGTGACACAAAACGATTCGAGACGGCGATAATGTGTCCTAGTCAGCCCCTTTTGTCGCCACTCGAGACCGCCTCAATCACCAAATACCTCCAGAATACCTGCTGGTTTAACTGTAGACGGGGCCTTTAGGGCTCCACTGTGCAAGAAAATAGTCTCCATATCAATCTTGTACCTTTCTGCACGCTTCTTTTCCAGAGAACAATACAATATATTGCGTGGGCAGATTTAACGCGTCGGCCTCTGTGGGTACAGGTTATGAATGCAGTTCCATAATTCTAACACTCCGGTGCGAGTCAACTGCTGACAATTTGTAGGAGACTGTTTAGCATTGATTTGGACTATGATATGAGCGCCGGCAAACAACTGTATGTAATATTGGCTAGTAAATCCACGGCGAGCCAAAAAAAAAAAAAGGAAAGGATAGTTTGCAATGTTCTGACAAGGACTTGGACTTCTAGTAATTCCCCCTGGTCTATGGGTAGTGAGGTTGGATGCCCCTGTGTATTGTTGCGCACGTAAAATAGCCCTTGGCCGTTGGAAATCAAACAGAGTAGCCTAACGAGGTTGCCTGGGCAAAATTTAGCGATAAAAATATACCTAAAGTATTTCAGGATCCTCGCCGGTGCTACAGAGCCTGTGCACTGTGCTGAGCTTCTTCAGACTCAGACTAGCGTTAGAAAAAGAACATAGCACTTGTGGGTTATTACCCGTGTGCCATGATGTTGATCCGTTGTTTAAACCTCAAAACTCAAGTTCTCGTCCATCCTCCTGCATTTTCCCTAGGCACCAGCAATCTCCCTCCCTCGGTCGACTAATCCCCAGCCTTGTTACTTGAAACCCCGGGGATCGGAACCATGGGAGCTTATCCTTACCTAACGTCTTAATTTGCCTCCCCTTCTAAGCACCTCACCGGGAGAACACAATACACAAGAGGGTACATGCGATCCCTCGGCGCAGATTGCCCAGGTCGGGAGCATCTCTCAGATGCCTATCATATCAGTTCGGGGTGGATGTAACGCAACGAGTGCCGCAGGAGGTGTTTGTTGGTGCGTCCACGTGTCCCGCTGCGGCTGTTTATGGTGTCAATAAGGCGGAGATTGTCGCGGAGGCTCCGGAGTTCTTCCACGCAATATATCAACAACTTGATCACAGGGATGTCTGGGAAACTAGACTGTAGATGCCGGGAGTTTTCTAGGAAGGTTCAAAAAGCCCTTCCGGGTGGCGCCAGAGCATGGAGGTTTTGGTGTATTGAGGCACCCCAAATAAACCAAATGCTGGGGGCCTTAGTGCCACCCCCTCCCATTCCCGTTTTCTCTATATTTGTAGGCTAAGCTACGCCCTTACACACACCCCCTTTCCAGCTGTATATAGATGTTCTCTGTTTAAGTGACTTGACGTTTTACCCCCACCGGGACATCACACCGTGAGATAAATACCCAGTGACACAAAGTGGCACTATTCCGACGAGAATCACCGGGGGACAGGTCTCAAAACCCCGTTCAACCCATAAAAATTACGTCCCATATAGGATCGTGTGGTATATAACTTGAATAACTCTTTAAGTTCGGTTTCTGTTCCTTAAAGCCCATTCTATGTGGCATAAGTAGTAAAATTCATACACAACCTTCTGTCTCGTATACTTTTATTCCATTCTGACACAGGCGATCTTCAGTGCCCTGATGCCAAACTGTCCAGCATCTTTTCTTGGTCTCCCCCTGCCTCTGCACCTCTCCAACGTTCCCACCTGTCACGATCTACTCGTTTTCTCCTTCTTATGACGTGACCAAACAATGCAGCTGTCTCTTTTTCATGCGGGCAGTTATTTCAGTTCTTTGGTATCTTTAAGGACATCTTCGCTGCTCTTTTTGTCTGTCTAGAATATTCTCATTATTTTTATTTAAAACCACATCTGCGCCGCGTTTTTTTATTTCATTTATTACTATGATATTATTTCAAATATATCATCGTACTCGTATTTATCATTTAGCACATTATTATTTGTGTTACTGGTAAACTTTTAACCGCTTCCGGACATCGATAACACCGTCGCACTGTTGAAGAAATTTGAACCTCACCACGCAATAAAGAGGTTGTCACTTCACCATGTAATACAGAGGGTGGAACTTCACCACGTAATATAGAGACTTGAACCTCACCACGTAATATTATTAGAGTCAGCATTGCGACCAATCTTCGTTTTGGTGACAGCACATAATTTTCTGACCTTTAAAAACGATTTCAACATTTACACAAAATTCTTAAGAACATGACCTATTTTGTATTCTTTATCCAGAAACCACCAGTTATTAACCTTTTTGCTCGTTACTATGAATATCGCAACCCTTCGGCCTTGATTCTATGACAGATACTGTAAATATGAGAGAAATGTGGCTTTTCTGCTTACCCTGGAGTGAACCTGGGCCACAAGGAGTTCGTCACCCGGTTGCCGCGCAGTCAGGTTTAACCACGCCCTTCTGTAAGGTCTAAACCTGGACGTAGTTTAACCAGCTGCGCTAGAGAGCCGGGCAACATGATCTAAAGAAGACAGGAAAATATAGGAAAGAGAACAGATAGACAATTGAAAAGAAAATGTAAAATATATTTCAGCTTTACAAAACCAATTACAACAACAACAAAACAGACGACGTTTTGGCGATTAGCTTTCATTACCAAAACATCGACAAGAAATAAAATTCAATATATACAACGATGAACAAACTCTGAAATGACTGCACAAAGGTATTGAAAAAGTATGTAAATAAACGAGACCAAGTATAAATAAACGACCTAATGATACATATCCGGACCGCTCTGGATTTTATAGCCAAAGTTGTGAAGCAGGTACAACCCCTAACGGGACGAGGACGTACAAATGATTAAAGGGCTTTTATTTTCCTTTTACTGTGTCCAGTACAATTTTTATTCGTAACACATTCACATAAACCACTTTTATCATCCTCATCATCTACGCAGTCTGCTACTTTCTTTTATCTTCTGTACGGGCGAATCAATAACAGCAATGAATGTTTCATATACAAACTTTGTCTGCCTTTACAGAGAGACAATGGAGTCGCTGCTACACAATCATTCTTATGCCAGGTCTCCCCTGCGAGCATTTTCTGAGAGCGAGTTTGAAGAGGCCCTCAAGAATAGGGACAGCAAGGGTAGGTTGAACAGGCATCACGTGTCTTAGGGAAAATGACGCACAGGTTAGGGCTCGGGTGGTGGAGTTTGTGTGTTTGTATTTGTAAGGGTGGTTGCGTCACTGTGTTGTGTGTTTATATAGTGCTTTTCTGGTGTCAGTGTCTGTGATGGTGTGTTTGCATGAATGTACGTGTGTGTGTGTGTGTATCAGAGTGTCTAGTGGCATCAGCGTGTGTGCATGGTTCTTCTTCTTCTTCTTCTTCTTCTTCTTCTTCTTCTTCTTCTTCTTCTTCTTCTTCTTCTTCTTCTTCTTCTTCTTCTTCTTCTTCTTCTTCTTCTTCTTCTTCTTCTTCTTCTTCTTCTTCTTCTTCTTCTTCTTCTTCTTCTTCTTCTTCTTCTTCCTTTTCTTCTTCTTCTTCTTTTTCTTCTTCTTCGTCTTCTTCTACTTCTACTTCTTCTTCTTCTTCTTCTTCTTCTTCTTCTTCTTCTTCTTCTTCTTCTTCTTCTTCTTCTTCTTCTTCTTCTTCTTCTTCTTCTTCTTCTTCTTCTTCTTCTTCTTCTTCTTCTTCTTCTTCTTCTTCTTCTTTTCTTCTTCTTTCTTCTTTTTCTTCTATCTATTTCTTCTACTTATTATTATTATTGTTATTATTATTATTATTATTATTATTATTATTATTATTATTATTATTATTATTTGCGTTCACACCGCTGAAAATCCGGCTGCAATTTGTCTTGATTCAGAATGTGAGTTGCTGGGCCTCGTTTTGAGGAAAACAAGAACAGACCCACTGCTTTTGTTACGAGCATGTCGTAAGAGTAAACTAACTGGGACGTTTCCTGCGAAGTTGTGGTGCATCTGCCTGGGAGGCAAGGAACCAGTAGTCTGTCTAAAAATAAGCCATAAAGCGCCATCAGATAACGATGTGTTTTTAGAGTGTTTATGTGTGAGAGAGAAAGAGAGAGAGAGAGAGAGAGAGAGAGAGAGAGAAAGAGACTTCTACTGTTGTTTTACTTGCATATTATTGACAATGTTACGTTTCTTGGCCCCTACAGATCACGCCGCTGCTCTAAGTCTGCTATACACGTGGCGAATGCAGTCGGCGTCCTTGTTACCAGGGCAACAACCAGTCATCAACCCGGCTCCGTACGCCATGTATGGAAACTTTCTCAGCCACGCCTACCGCGGTATGGAGACAGTAGCCACGGCAGCGGACATGCGCAGCAGTGCCACGGTGATGAACGACGTGCTCCTACGTAGCTCCTTCTACAAACAGACTGTGACCTCATCTCTAGCCGCCGCCTACCAGAGAGGCCTGTATCGCTACCACCCTTACCTCCCTACAGATAGAGTTCGATCGCCAGATACGTAGATCTTAAAGAAGAGGGAAACATTGTATATAATTAGGTTCTCTGGAATAAGGTCGAAAGAAATCTTCGAGGGAGTAGCCAGAGTCTGATGTAGACTCGACCGTATGGAGTCATCAAATATAAAAACTGTTGTACTAGCACTAACCAACAATTGGGAGCAGCTATAGTGTAGTGGCTAGAAGCTAGCTTGCAAATCTGAAAGAAGGTTTTGGGTTCAAATTCGAACAGAGCCGGACATTTTTTTCCTTTCAAAAATGACATTGGCTCCCAAGTCGACGTAGCCTAAAATAGGGACCAGGTAAAGTCATGGGAAGTAAAAGCGGCTAGCGTGATGTGACAGTATCACCTACCGAGTGTCAGTTGGTCTATAATATATAAGTCTACATGTCTAAAACGCCCGAAGGTGGCTTTGAAAGGGGTCAATTATCTTTACTATTTAGGGGTTGGACATAATTCAGTTCCAGCCTTTGCTAAAGCACCATTCGGCTTCGAGTGTCTAACTAATGTGATGTCTGCTTTGTTTTCTTTGAATGTCAATAATAATAAATCAGATGGTGCCGTCCCCAGAATGGGGTTGGCTGCTATGTACCCGCTGCTTACTGAAGGAGCATTGCAGGGTGAAACAAGACTCTCTTCCATGGTATGACACTCATACCACTGTCTGAATGCCACTGAGAGTGGTCCTTTTCCACATTGCTCATTGCTAAAATCGAACCGTTGTAAACGCCCACTAACCCCTTAGGCCACATAAACGCACGAATGCCAATGTCAACTGTTCTTTTTCTTGTGACGTCATACTTACCTGATTTTATTATATCTATTTGTGATACATTTTATTTCTTTTCTTCATATAGTATTCATATCTTCTCACACCCCCCCCCCCCCCGTTTAGTTTTTTTCTCTCTCTCGATCGTACCAACTTTCACACCCTTGCCTTGTTAGTCAATGATTTCATCCTCTCTCTGACAGTGAGTGGAGAAGTTTCCTCTTCGGAGTCTCTTCCTTTCCTCATCTCATCTCCCTATCTAATCACCCCCCCCCTACCTTTTTATGTGTGTGTACATTAGTACTTATCACGAACTCGCCCGCGCAGCGAGAGTTCATTCCCTTTAAATCATGCAGCAACCAGTCCCACGGCCTGTTCTATGCTGTATGAGGCTGTCAGTTAGTCTTTATTTTGAACAATTTTACCGTTCTCTCTTTTTCGTAGTGTCAGCGCTCACTTGCGCAACTTATTTCCAAGCTCTCATAAAAAAAGTAAATAAAGATCCCTTTACACGCCCTTAGGCGCATCAGGCAAATGGGAAGAGCACCCATATTTTTACAGACCAATCGGCTCTGTGGGTAATGTGGTCAGCATTACGCCGGCCGTCTTTACTTTCCCAGGACAGCCCATCCTGGTACCCATTTGAGGCTGTGTCGACCTGCGACGTCCTATACTACGATAAAAATCCCCGCAGCCCACGCAGGTTTTGATCGCGGTACGTTGGATTACGATTCAAACTCGCAACGACTTAGCCACGGATAGAGACTCACAACAACACAACCTCCCACAAGCATTATGTGCAGTGAGCGAACGCCGAAGAGACAATCTCATAACATCCTTTCAACATAGGACAGACAGCGGCATGAACAGGATGGAAAGTAAATCTCGCCGTGCTGGCAAGACATGATTAGTCCCCCACCCCCACCCCCATATATTTGTTTACGTCTCTTCTTCTTCTTCTTCAGCGATCTCTGGTCATGCGCATAATCCACTGTGGGTCATAAACTGGGATGTCTTTTTAAGGTCTCTTAGGTTTCCCCAAAGCTCAGTTGTCAGTTCTACTGGGTGTTGCCATTTGTCGCTCCGCAGCTCCGCCAGGAGAGGACAGTCTTGCAGGACATGTTCTGGAGTCTGTTCAGCACCAAGGCACTGGCAGAGAGCTGTTTGGCTCATACCTAATTTATGTGAGTGTTTATTGAGTCTGCAGTGTCCAGTGCGTAAGCGAAAAACTGTGACTTGGTCTGTTCTGTTCAAGTGTTTCAGGAAATCTTTTCCGTAGTTATAACCAGTGTTGGTTTTTCAATCTGTTTCTGATTTTCTCTTAATGAGAGTTTTGACTTCTAGAAAAGATAGTGGCTGGTAGGTCTGTGGTTTGTTACTGCCTTCCTTGGCTAAAGCAGTTTACGTCTCACAATTGACCCTTTCTCCGAAGCTGACCAGCCTAGCACTGCTACCTGGGAATGTGGTCAGCGCGATGTTGACATCACCTATTGAGTGCCAATTGGTCTCTAAAAATATAGGTCTAGGGCCATATGCTCCATGCGCCACTGACTTAAAAAAAGGGGTCCTTTACTTTTTTTCACCACACCATTGTCGTTATCGAAGCAGGCACTCATTATTCACACCGCGGAGGCGTAGATAAATAGTCATGCCTGGTATTCTGTGATTGCCTGTATGTGTAGTTGATAACTTTGATGACGTATCTTGATCTCGCTTCACTATAACCTTCCTTAAACATGTATCATTTCGGTGCAAGCCTGCTTAACCGCCCAAGTAAGGCTAACTGATATGTATAAACGCTGCCGCTTAACGACCAGTTGTACGCCCCTCTTGAGGACTGCGCGTCTATAAACTTTCAGTTCAGCCACCCTCTGAGGAGTGTGCCTCAACGGTTAGTCCTGGACCATTGAACGGTCAATACTAGCCACAAAACTGTCCGTCTTGTGATTATAAACGGTTAGTCCTGTGCCACTAAACGGTCTGTCCTGTGCCACTAAATGGTCAGTCATGTCCCACTAAATGGTCAGTCCTGTACCACTAAATGGTCAGTCCTGTACCACTCAAGGGCCAGTCCTGTGCTACTAAACGGCCAGTCCTTGGCCACTCAACGATCCAGTGCTACTAAACGGTTAGTCCTGTGCTACTAAACGATCAGCCATGTGCATTGAACGGTCAGTCCCTTGCTCTTCTAAGGACTGCGCCCCATTACCAGCCAGCGCTGCCTGTCTCTGAAGATTGCGCCCCTCAGAGATCAGTGGTGGGCTCTATACTTAATTCTAGCACTTGACCTTATTATCATAAACAGCCATAAAGCATCCATTGTGTGGTGTTTGTTTTTTTGTAATTACGCCTCTCCCCTTCCCACCAACCCTTTTTGTCTGTAAACACTCCCCTAACTACAATAGACTCTGAGCGATTACATGTTTTTTTTGATGACTCGCTGCCATGAAAAAATTAAATTGTTTATAAACATGAACACGTTTTTCTGACATTTTTCATTTGTATGTCTTGGAAAAAAAGCAAAGACATGTATAATATATTTGCGTCACCAATAATACGCCACAGAAGAACGGCTTTACAAGAACACAAAACATGTACTATAGAACAGCTTAGCAATAACATCGTTCGCAGTATACACCAGAACCGATTTTCAAGAACACAAAACACTACATACAGAAGAACAACCTAATACGAAGATCTCATACGAAGTACAACAGAACATTTTAACAATACAATTACATATAAACAAAGAAGGACGGGACCCATTCATACACCTACAATAAAATGAAAGTGAATCCAATGATGCCAGGAACCAGCAAGTACACTATGAAAGTAGAATCATGAGAGAGAGAGAGAGAGAGAGAGAGAGAGAGAGGGAGAGAGAGAGAGAGAGAGAGAGAGAGAGAGACTCGCGAATAGACTAGCGTGTGAGTTAAGTCACTGATTCTCTCTTAGATAGAAAAGATAGTCTATAATATATTTACACACACAGGCAGGCACAAATAAAGCAGTCACACACAGAGAGACTAAAAGCGCACAAGTCTTCACAACATCATTATTTCTTTATCGATGCCCTCTTCAGTATGTTATCATTATTGTTTTGTTTATAATTTGGCCATTTAATGACAATGAATCCAATAATGACAGGGGCGAGCGTGTACAACATGAAAATAGAAACACCAAGAGGTAGGGGACGACCAAGAAGGAGATGGATTGCAGGAATCACTGACACCTTGAGACTCCACAACATCACGGTATACGGGGCAACCGGGCGTGCTCTAACTTAGATATTTGTCACACAACGCGTATGTCGTTTGCCTTTTATTAGAGTTCCCGTAATTAACAAAGACTCTAAAGGGATTTAATGTCTATATGGTGGCTAGTATTGGTCTAAAGATTCTCCGTCGTTCCAATATACCATCCAACGTTACTTGAAGGGTGAGGCAACGCAAGTAACTAAGCTCCACAAGACCACTAGATATCTCACGACTTGGTCAGATTTCTTCACCACTTGTTTGCCCCCCCCCCCCCAGTTTAGATAGGATCACTATCATAGTTAAATAACATAGTATTACCAGAAAACTGAAAATATACCACACACTGACACCAACCTAAATTAAGGAAACAGTGAAATTCTTTACACCAACAAATTAATGTATAGAATAACAATGCATGATGTGTTGAATATCAGCAAAGGTAGAAAATCAAGGAATGGATCAAATGGATAAAAGACAGCACAATATATAGCAAATGCAGTGGAAACTACAGTCCCGTTAGCCCAAACTACAGGCTTGACTTCAACCTTAATATAAATCATCATCGCAATGGAGATTATGAGATAAGACTCAGTAAACTTAGGCACAGTTTGTGTTGTTGGCTATGGGTTCCATTTACTCATCTCTATAGGTGAAGCAGTGAGGGTCCTTCCTATCTCCAGTCTGAGTTGAATCTGCTGAACAGTTCAGGCACACTGTCTGTTGATGCCACTCCTGGTGAAGCAAGGCAACATTACAATGTTAATAAATGTAACAGGCACTCTGACAGGTGGTGGCTCTGGTGTGCAAATTTAGCTGCTAATACAGCTGCTGCATGCTGAAGTAGTCTATATTTAACTTCACAGGTTGGGACACAACATGTCACATCAGCTTAAGGATAATGGGAGGATAAATATGGTACATGGTAGGTTAGGACTGGCCAATGGTATGGCGTATAACTGAGGAATGAAGTACTCTGGTG